GCGATTTGCTAAGTGCGCCTCAAAATTTATAACGTATTTTATTTATTCTAAATGTTTTAGTGTTTCTCATTGTTGCAAATGATGTGTATACGAATCAAATTCATTTTACTGTTCTATGATGTTTACGCTCTGTTACTTAGGGTATCCTACATGCTGCAATTTTGTAGGCTGCAGTTTAATCATTTGCTGAACATGAGTGATTTGTTTAGCAACTTAGAGAAAAACCATGCAGAAATAAGATAAGTACATATAAACGATGACAAAATCGTGTTTCATTAGCAGGCAGCATATTTTTCGTGTAGGTGCGCCATGAGTTTTTTCCGTGATAATTTGACGCCACACAAACCGCTGTCTTATGCTAAGTTTGATCAATAAGAGTGAACAATTCCGGATAAGAACCATGCTGTCGGTGGCCAGACATCGTAATTCATCATTTAGGCCTGCATAAACAAACATTGAGCCAAAGCTGAACTTGCTATGCAGCAAAAAGTATTCGCACCCATTACACTGAATAATTAAATAAAGTTAATCTGAATAAATATGTGCTTGTTTTTGTAATTGAGTAGGCCTACTAAAATTGAGATAGAGCTGTGTCAATAAAACATCAAAAATGCATATTTCGAGCTGTTTAGCATTATCAGCGCGAACAAGGGCGCGGAACATTTTAATATATTAAAAGGGGCCGCGAGCTCGAAAGTTTGGGAAGCCCTGAAATAGATGATATTTAATATTTTCTTTTGGGTCCGTGTAAAAATCCTCAACTATATTTAAAATTTATTTTGGATTATCTGTTATAACTCCGTTAGCTTTTAATTTCGAAATTGTGGTTTCCGCTTCTCGTTTTTACATCTTTTGGAAAAATATTTTTGTAGGTGTTTCACCAATCTCGGTTTCTTCAAATTTGGCTTTTAGATTTATATAATCCAGTTTTTTTATTTTGACGAAGAATAAGTGCCTGGCGTTGTATGACATCGTTGTCAGTACCTTCTTTAATTAGATAATCTAGTCGTTCTATTTTCCTTTTAATTTCTTTTGCTTTTTCAATAGAATAAGCAATGGACACTTTTTCGAGACTATATTTGACAAAATCCCACTATTTCTGGATATGGGAGAATTCATCTATCTGATGGACTAAATTATTATACTTTTTTTATTATTATATGATAGTAATCAACATCACCATATAAGCTGGTGTTGTTCTTCCACGCACCCTTGTCCCACCTTATCTTTATAGAAGACTTTAATACAAGGACTGGGAGAAGGGTGTGGTCAGAAGCGGTGTTTATAAAATGGTGAATATCTTTGACACCAGTCACGAGGTTTTCACAGATGTAGATTCTGTCTATCCGTCGTGACTGGGTCCCAACTCTACAGGTGTAAAGTTGGTCGTCAGGATATTTATTACGAAGGATATCCACCATGCTAGAGGCTTGCATGGCGGAGGCTAGTATTTTCTCTGCCCTTGAGTTTGAAATGATGACTATTAGGAACATCACGCTCATTAGAGTTAAAGTCGCCAGTTATAATTACGTGTAGCAAAGGATCCAGGGTCTGGATCACACTGCGCATCTTTTTCATGAAGATTGTCTGGATATGGCCCCTGACAGACGAAACATACAAATTAACAATACAGTAAGTATTGTTATCGTAAGAAAAGTCCAGTCTATCGGGAATCAGACTTTTATATCCAACATCAGTTAAAGAGATAATATTTTTAATCAGAAACCCGGTCCCAAACTTAAAATATTTGATGGTTTTATCTTCATGGTTGATGGTATTAAGATACGCAGTGTAACCCAGATCGTTGGCCCAAGAATTAATATTATTTTTATTACAGCGATGTATTTGCTGTAAAGCAATAATATCTGGTCTTTGGTTTTGAAGCCAGAGATCTAATTTAACCAATTAGTAGTTAGCCCATTGATATTAAATGTAGCTATTTTTAAGGAGGCCATTGCTAAAGAGGCGAGGAACAAATACTAGGATTACTATATTTGAACATGATCCAACTATATTATGTATTAAGTTATTAATCACAAATACATTTATTATAATAAGAATGCCAGAAATGAAGATCCACAAAAAGACAAACCTTTTTCCAGGACGTAATAGGGATAGAAATGGAGGAATTTACAGAATTAGACCTATATTATATATTTCGTCCTTCGAAGGCAGAGCGGAAAATATTCTGGACTTACTCGGGGGCAGAACAAGGGAGGTGTCTGATGTACCAGACCAGGGATGGCGAACCACTGACCCGCGGGTCACAAAGTGACCCACCGCGTTTTATTCGTGAATAAAATAATAATAAAATGCTAACATATCAGTAATAAAAATTTATAAAACCGGTCTTAAATTAATCTAACAATACCTAAACTATTATAATCTACCCAGTGGCGTATCTACGTAACATGGCGCCCATGGCAAAGTTAAAAAATGCACCCCTCGATGGTTGGTTAACGATTTATAATGACTGTTATTGAAATGCTATACTGTACCTGTACGATAATATTCAAGTAAAAATGCGAGTTTCAGTCGTCTCCAATTTGAAATAATTCTATTGAAACATATTGCGATTAAAACTTTTTGCCGTTTTTGCGCCCCTGTCTAAACAGCGCCCATGGCACGAGCCATGGCTGCCACACCCTCGATACGCCACTGAATCTACCGTCAGTTGGGCAGTCGGGGCCGCGAGGGCTCATATTCAAATTGTTAATTTCGGGCCGGTATGGTAATTTTCAAAACCCCTAATCTTGGACGCATGTCTGCACCGCTGTGAACCATTATTCAGCTATTGGCTCTGACATCGTTTATGACATTACAATGCAACTGATATGTTAATTTGTCGCTACGTCTGGTCTCTTTCGGAAATTCATCTGCAGACTGTTTTAGGGGTTATGCGAGAACTAGATGCCACTTTGTATTTTATTAGTTTCTCACCCAAAATACCGATAAGAGAACAGAATCTTTCAGACTTAAAATAAAAACCTAGAAATCTGAAATAACAACGCGGGAGTGTAAAAGTGCTTTAATGAGGTTGAAAGTTGATCAAAAATAGAACACTGTCAGGGTGGGATTCCCTCCAAACTCTTTGGAACCGTAAAATCATTTACCGCATCATCCTAAACGTTTATGGTATTTCATATGCGTGTTTTCGTACTCCAATTTCATAAAATCGAGTGCCTGAATCAAGTCCCTGATAGAAGTGCTGCATAAGTAAAGCCTGAAACTACACCAACAGAAGCCTAAAAGATTTGTTTCAGAAGTTTCTTATAGATACAAACATTGATCATATATCTGTGACCCACTCTCTTCTGTTCCGCGATAAAAATATAATTTTTGACCCATTCATTGAAAAAGGTTCGCCATCCCTGTAGACGAACTCTCCCGTCCTCTTTTTTCTTCCCGAAAGACAGATTTTTCATCAATTCGGGAATAATCCCATTCTAGACCAGGTTTCTTTTTTTTTTTCATGGCCTCGGAGTTTTAACCGGAAAGACTCAAGGCCTTCATCTGAACACTCCGAGAGTTTGACCAGATTTAACGGACCATCCCCCGAAGAGTTCTCCTCATTATTATTTATTGTTATTTCAGGTTCATCCTTTTTCTTTTTTTCAGAGGTTTAAACTATTATTTTTATTATCATCCAACTTTTCCTGCACATGAGCAAGATCTGACTCAAGAAAGTCGGAGAAACCCGGTCAAAGACTTAAAATATTTGATGGTTTTATCCTCATGGTTGATGGTATTAAGTTGCGCAGTGTAACCCAGATCGCTAGCCCAAGAATCAATATTATTTTTATCACAGCGATGTATTTGCTGTAAAGCAATAATATCTGGTCTCTGGTTTTGAAGCCAGAGACCTAACTTAAGCCGATTAGTAGCCAACCCATTGATATTAAAAGTAGCTATTTTCAAGGAAGCCATTGCTAATGAGGCGAGGGAAAAATACTATGCATACTATATTAAAACACAATACAACTATATTATGTATCGATATATTTTTTACATTTATAGTTATTATAATAATATTATTTTTATCATTACAGGCATTGAAAAATACCAGAAATGAAAATCCACGAATAGATGAGTCCTCTCCCAAGATGTAATAGAGCAGGGCTACTCAACTGGCGGACCGCGGTCCGAATCCGGACCTTTCGAGTATTGGATTTGGACCGCACCTAATTATTTATTTTGGATCATTAGCCCCACTTTTTGAATTTCCTATTATAAAATGACACTCATAGTTTTGAATATATACAAAAAGAACTATACCACCATAATAAACACTTTTAATTTGCTACTAATCATTAGTCGGCCGAGGAAGTGCTCGTTTAAGGATGCCGAAATATCATTTCTAGAAAGACCGGACCCAAATAATTTTGAAGTTTTGTTTGCGGACCTTCGATAAAAATAGTTGAGTAGCCCTGTAATAGAGGAAGAAATGGAGGAATTCAGAGAATTGGATATATATTATGTTATTCGTCTTCCTCTGAAGGCAAGACGGAGAAAATTCTAGACTTACTCGGGGGCAGAACAAGGGAGGTGTCTGATGTACCAGACGAACCCTCCCGTCCCCCTTTATCGTCCCGAAAGACGGATTGTTTTTCAATTCGAGAATATTCCCAATCTGGACCAGGTTCCTTCTTTTTACCATGGCTTCGGAGTTTTAACCGAAAGGACGCATGGTCTTCATCGGAACTCCCCGAGAGTTTGACCAGATTTAACGGGCCATCTCCCGAAGAGTTCTCCTTCTCAGTAATATTAGCTATTGTTATTTCAGGTTCATCCTGGTTTTTCCCTAAGTTTAAACTATTTTCAATATCCAATTTCCCCTTCGCGTGAGATTGGTCCGAATCAAGAGAGTCAGGTATCTCACGTACCTCAGCCGGGATGGGGTGCAATTTGACTCTAACCAGACTGGAATACTTGTTGTGTTTATTGGATGTTTGATGCTTATTATTTTTCTTTTCAGACGATCTCTGCTTTGATGGGGAGCTAGATGCTATCTTGGAAAAGCTATATCTAGCTCGCGTCGATGGAATAGATGTCGCGGGTAAATCAGGAGAACTGGTTCGAGGTTGTATGTTGCTACCGAGTTTATCAGCTGGTGGCATTGCTGGAAACTCGAGACAGTCTCTCTGAACGTGCCCCGATTTCTTGCAGAGACGACAAGACGTAAGTAATACACAATCTCGAGCAAGATGCCTAGATTGAAAACAGTTCAAGCAAGTTTTTACATAAAGCTCTGCAGGGAGGTACGTCTTACAGCGTACTCCACCAATGTTGATGAAGTCTAGAAAATTCGATACATCAAACTCATCAACAATGGCTTGCACATAGCCATTATAAAGGTGTTTTTGAGGAAGATCTTAAATACTCGCCGAACACACATACTAAAACTTAAAGAATTGAGCATTGTTTTTATTTGGTCTATTGTGGCCTCAGATGGAATACTGCGCACACTGATTCGTGTGCCGGGGCCACGAGGCAAACTAAATTTATGTTCACTGAGGGGTCCGTTTTTATCTTTTTCTTCTTCTTTTTTTGCTTTATTAAAAGTAGGCCTCGACCCACCAATACTCACCTTGTTTTTATACTCACGTGTTGCAGGGGAGACTGGTAGATGTTCTTTCCTTTAAAACCTGTAGAGAGGTAAAATAAAAACACCGGAGAAAACGGAGGTCTAGATTTGACGAACACTTCCGTGACAGAAGAGAGTTTGGAGAAATGCACCTTGGTGCACACTCATATCAACTCTCCCTGTCACGTGATGCTCGCTTCCTCCTAGGAAATAAAAGAGAGAAAATGGGGTAAGTAAAGAGTGAGAGAAGAAGAGTTTAGGAGATAAAAAGAAATCATCTTAAAAGGATAAAAAAAAATGTATAAGAAATAAACAAAACAAAAAACTTCATCAAAAATGTACGAAATCCACGATTCTGGTGTATATGGCTCTATTGGAATTGCTGTTATTGGTCTTGCCTTTATCATTCCACTATGTTGTTTTATTTAATATATACAGACAAGTTTATTTCTAAGGCTGAGAATTAAATAGTTGACTCGGGGAGGTTCTTGATCGTTATAACGGCGTTTAAATAATTTTTACATCGATGTAGTTGTTCCGCCGTTGCCCTCTGCAGTTGCCTTGGCCTCTTTGAAGTTGATACCTAGTTACGGAGTAATATCCAAAAAAATACTGGTTTGGAAAATATTAACATTGTAACATATAAGGAAGGATACTCGGTAATTGATATTAAATTATCAAAATTGATTATGGGAAGATACTGCTAAAAATGCCCAACAGACATACCTTCCAACCGACAATAGAGCCAAAAATGATGAATAGAAAGAAATTGAAACTAATCAGATGATTATTTAAAGTTTTTCAACAACACGCAATTTGGAAGAAATCCGAGGTTTACTAGATAGGAGAGTTATTGAGGCTTCTGAAGATGAGCTAACTCGACGATTTTTGCTTCATTCTCTCCAAGGTTTTCCGGGTCACTTTCCAAATTATTCTTTTCCTCATTCACGACTGCTTCCAATCTACCATTTAAGTTCGGGGATTTCGATTACAAAGAATCAGAAAACTCTCTAATTTCAGCAGGCATAGGGTGTATGTCCGCCGTAACCCGCCTAAGAGAACCAGATGGGTTAGCAGTATCCTTATTAATATTCCTTTTCTTTTCCAGCTGTCCTTTCGACGGTACAGGCCACGATGTTACTTTGGTGAAACCGTATCGCGATGGCGTCTTTGGCGCCATTTCAGCAGAAGAACTGACTGGAGGATCCTCATCAGGTGTTACAGACGGGAAATCAGTACAGTACATGTACATGACCGGATTTTTTACAAAGGCGGCAGGACGGTAGTAAGATACACTCTCTGGCCAGATGACCAGTCTGAAAACAATTCAGACAAGTCTTGACGTAAAGCTCTGGTGGTAAGTACGTTTTACATCGTAGTCCACCAACAGTGACGAAGCCGGGAAACTTGGATTTCTCGAAATCGTCAAAGATGGCTTGTACGTAGCCGTTGTATACCTTGGTGTTCTTAAGGTATACTCTAATGATCCTACGAACTTTACCACAGCCAAAGGAGTTTAAAATAGATTCGACTTGCTCTTGCGTGGCTTCTGTGGGAATTACCACGCACGCTAACGCGGGTCCCAAGGGCCACGGCGGCAATGAAAAATCAATTATCCACAAAGGCGTGTCTATTGGGCTACCAACACTATTAAGAAAGTTATCCCGTGTCGGTATTCCGTCCGCAGGCTGAAACGTTATATTCCAGGTGCCCTGACGGATGGGAAATAGACCGCTTATTAGGTTCTTAAAAGGACGCAACTTATTCACAGTAGTAAAAAGTTCATAAAAGGCTGAAACCGTCAAGATGTTTTGACTGTTATGACACCAATCGACTCGCCTCTGCTGACTTCAACACCTTTTACGTTGGCTACCTTTGGAATTGAGGCAGCAACGTTAGAAAAAAGAGGCCTAGATGTTGAAGGCTGTGTAGTCGGCATGGCTAATGTTGCAGCAGGAACCTGTCTACCGAGAACACTCTGACGCGAGTCAGTGCCGAGAGGCATGCGTGTCCTGGCAGACATTAAAGACTATTTACAACTACGAAGAAAACTATACGAGAAGAGATACCTATTTAAACTACCCTTTATGGTACAAGAACAGCAAAAAACTCAGGACTATATAAGTTAAATAATGCAACACAAAAGCTAGAACAAACAACAGCGGTAACGGTCTATAATAGAAACGCCGGGAGGGCCTCAGGAAATTTCAAGAAGGAGAGGCCACTCCCAATACACCAAGAATTGGAGCGGGTTGGTAACTTAATATACAACCAAATACATTTTTATCTTCTTCAGATGTCCAATTTCATCCAAATCATTTTCGGTTTATGTGGTGCTATTCATTATATTGAAATATTCCAATTGGGTTTCTATATCGATGTGGGGTATCGTTCTCGATAGCTCCCTATAGAAACTTTCTACTATCTATTGTCTTTTCTGCTTCTCTTTTTTTATTTTTTAGGAAAATATTTTTGATGGTTTCACACTAGCTTCAATCTTTGCTTTGAGTTTAATATATTCTAATTTATTTTCTTTCTAAAGAAGAAGTTTGGTTATCGCGTTGTTATCTGGTCCTACTTCCATTAGAAATTGCAGATCCGCTTCTTCTATTTTCTTTTTCTTGAGCTATGGATTGGGTCAGCAATTGTCGCTTTTTTATGCTAATTTTAACACAATCCCACCATACTTGGGTTGGTGGAATCGATAATTTATATAGTTTCTTTGTCACAGCGATGTATTTGCTGTACTGTATCTGGTCTGTGTCTCTGTAACCAACTTAAACTTCTTTGTGCTAATCTCATTCACATTAAAAGTAACAATGCTTAGCGAATCCATTGTTACGGAGCTATGTATAAAAAAGAAACTTGCCCAGCATAAATATTACCAATAAACAATTTACTGAAGGAGGATACTAAGTTTATATTAGGTTATTATAATTTATTATTGGAGAAGTTCTGTACGTTTCTGGCACAATTGACTGTGCACTAAACACGCTTTCTAAACCACTGCAGATAAGAAGGTGGTGGATAGCAGAGCGTTATTATTATAGGTATTTAAATTAAAAAGAGGCAATTCGGAAAAATCTAAGATTTACTTGGCGGAAAAACTGATGACACGTCTAACGGCGAGCTTTCCTGTCCCGTAAGGTAGGATTTCTGAAAAATACCATTCTGGACCCGGTTCCTTGGCCTTCCAATAACTGCAAAGTTTCCTTCTAAACGACGCAAGTTTTTCATCCGAGCACTCTTAGGGTCTGGCTATGTTATGATAGTCTTTTCGACGATTTTAGCTTAGTTTCCCGGAACACTACCTAGATTATTTATTTTGCTACATGGTGCTATTTCTGATATATCCTTCAAGTTCGGTGTTTCTGACTTCAAGAAAACTGAGTTCTCACGAATTTCAGCCTGGATACATGGGATGTATGCCCACCCTAACCCGACTGAGCTATCTGGATTGATCAGTAGCAAATTTCTCCCGTCTATAATTATTTTTCTTCTTCACCTGTCCTTGCGATGATACAGCGACAGATGTTACTTTAGTAACGCTGCATCTCACAGGCGTTTTTTTTTTTCTAGTCTGGAGAGATGACTTGTAGTTGCGGATCGCTACGCTATCCTTCATCAGGTGATATTGAAGGGAACTCGCTGCACATGACCAGATTTTTTGCAGAGACGACAGGGAGGCGGTATGGTACATTCTCTGGCTAGATGACCGGCTTAAAAATAGTTAAGACGAGTATTGGTGTAAAGTTCGGGTGGAAAGTAGGTTTTACATCGTAATCCGCTAACAGTGATGAAGTCGGATAACTTGGATTTCTCGAAATCATTAAAGATGGCGGTTACGTACTATCTCACAAGCGTCCCTGATGTCTTTTTTACAGGAGAGCTAACCTCAGCCTGAGGCTCGCCTCTGTTCCTCATTAGATAGTAATGAGGGAAACTCAGTGCACTCTCGCTGAACATGACCAGACTTTTTACAAAGACGGCGGCATTGTGCATCTGGCAAGATGACCTGCTTGAAAACAATTCAAGCAAGTCTTTGTATACAGTACAGGTGGAAGGTAAGTTTTAACGTACTCCATCAACATTAATCTAATAGGGGAAGTTAGTCCGTATCCGTTGGTGTTTACATACGCTGATGTGTACAAGGTCGGGTTGAATAATGGCTAATGGCAGTTATTTTTTCGTGAGGACACTTGGTACTATACAACGACACATTTCACGGTTATGACATAAAAGGCAGAAGCTTTTCTGATGATTCAGATTGCAAACTAGTCTTCTTACATCAAAAAACAAATTTTTACTGAAATATAGTTTATCTATGCTCATTTTGTACCACAATAGTCAGTTCGATGCCACAATTGTTGTTTGTTGACATACCCCGCCAGAAATTTTCCTATTTGCTCTCGGTTAGATTTGGTCTGTTGTTGTTCTTTGTAGTAGAAGCGAGTGTTTTCCGGCCAAATCCTGTAAAATAATCCAACATATTTTATAGCGTTTTTGACACGGTTTTCCTTGTCCGATATCGTCTTTTAGTTGATCATATGTCCTTGTATGATTTGAATAGTTTTCAAAATACATTTTATTCGGTCCGTCATAGACTAGGTATGTGATCCGGTGATATTTGCATCTAAATGTTGCAAATTTCGGAGAGTATTTTATTATTATATGATCCGTATCGTTGAGAGTTATTAATTTTTTCTTTAGTGTTTCAAACCGGTAATTATTCTTTGTCCAAATAAATAGCCATTTTGTGCAATTCTGTAGGAAGTATCTTCTCTCTATTTTGTTATTGTTTGTTCTAGATGCACATCCAAATTGTTGATTTGCAAATATATTTCTTTCCAATTTTTTTAAGGTATTCCATCCAGTTTTTTGATGGTTTCCACTACATGGCGCATTAAATTGGTGAATAATTTAGCGTTTAAAGTTTGATCCGAGATTATTCAGTGCATAGTGTTTCCGAATTTTTACCCAGTCTGCAGGCCATTATTTTCGCGTTATTGTTTATCATCGAGAAACCTCCTTTTTGCTTCGGTCTTCGTAGTTTCTTTTTAGAAGTTGCCCTCAAAAGTTTCTGGAAATAGGTTATTAATATATTTCATCCCCATACTAATATTTTTGCTGCAAGCAAGATATGCTGCGTGTGTCTACAATTCCAAGTAGAAAGTGAAATTGCCTCAAAAGTCTCTGGATACCAGACAAAATCATAAAATAGCCTAAAATCTTCCATATTTTGCATAATCATACTAATAATTTTTGCTGCAAACAAGATATGCTGTGTGGCCATTTAATTTATGATAATGATTTAATTAAGTGAAAACTCTTGTTTTTGATAAATTGAACAACTCGGAAACTTTGGTCTTTTTGTTGTCCTACGTCAATTTCGTCCTCACCAAAATACAATCCAAGCAATTTCCTTTATATATGCATAATATGGGGTTCCTTGTAAGCGAATTTTGGTCTTATCCAATATACATGTTATAGTTTTATGAATATTGATTTATGGCCCTGTAGCTAATTCATAGTTGACAGTTTTTTTAAAAATATAATTTATTAGAGGTCTTATCTCGAACGCTAAGAGTTATATCGTCCGCATTTAGTTCTATTATTTTCTCTGCTCTCCCTAATTTAATTCTTCTAACTTCTTGATACCCAATGATTTGTCTCGTAAAAGGTTCAACATTGAAATAATAGAGCAACATGCTCATAAGGCATCCTGTCTAATACCGCGGTTCAGTTTAATTATGCACGATGGTAGTCCGTTTATATAGATGATGCTGTATATATTCGTATAAATATTTTGAATGAAGGCGATTATTTGTTCGACCATGTCACAATTTTGAATAGAAACTCGTGATTAACAAGGTCAAGTGCTTTTAGACTGTCAATTGATATTATCATGCGCTGGAGAATTTTTTAATTTTTCGCTAAAGTTAATAATCGAGATGAGATTATAATGAGCATCAAAAAATGCTTCTGTCGGGTAGGGTGCTTTTTTGAGAGGGGCTCATTATATAACTCGAAATTTATTGTAGTCGATTAAATACGAGTTTTGTAATGATTTTTTAATCCCATATTTAAAATCGAAAAGGGTCACCAGTTTCATTTTACAAGAAAAGGTGTCTATATCAATAATACTATATATGTCCTTGTACATGTTTTGGATAAGTGCAAATATTTGTTTGTCCATAGAATTTTGAATGGGAGATCGTGATTAACAAGATCAAATGCTTTTA